CTTGCGAGGGTGATGATGATGATGATGACGATGGTTATGACAATGATGAATGCGTACGTACCGTGACTGTATTCGCAAATGGACTCTCGGCCCACAGCACAGAAGATATCATTGAACAATCCTCGTTCCTCCCAAGGCCATTTCTTCGCCATGACAGCACAACTCCCATCACCATTTGGCTCCATCGGTTGCCATTTGTCAATAGTAAAGCTCTTATTGTTGGGCCATAGCCAATCTCCATCTACCTTTCTCAAGCTTGTGTACCATTCAGTGTGATATCTCTTCTGAACCTGAATGTTAATGAACGCCCATTCCTCTTCTGTTTCCATGGATACTAAACCACCTCCATTCCTTGTGCAATCTTCCTGACACGATTTCCATGGCTTCTTTACAGTATTAAATGTATAACAGGAACAGCTTATATCTATAAGTAACCATGGTGATATAGATTATAAATGAATGTCACATACTATTCAGCAATAGTCACAAAAACTATTTGACAGGGAAAGTCAGGAACGTATGTTTCGGTATTCACTTCTTTTATAAACAAAAGAAGTTGCACCGCATGGATGTAGAATAGTTAAAAATGTTAAATCCCTTATATTACCGGCAATTGAAAATAGCACAAAGTAATAACGTTACATAATACGTAGGTTTTATGGTCGTTTGCATTCTACATACCTGTACTGTTTTCACCTGTAGCTATCATTGTACAATGTAGTACTACAAGAGCCAATGATATGTGAAAATACATTCTCGTTTTTTCCCCACTTTTTCAGTAGATTGTAGGCTCCTATAGCTGTTCAATAATGGTGACTTTTTGCTTTCTTGATTTGTGCGCCAAAAACAATAAGGATTTTCCAAGTTGATAAGTGTCTGATAGTTATAGCGACACCAACAATGAGATTGTTTAAAATGAAAGCAAGAATATACTTTCCACGAGGTCTGCCTAGGATTTGTATATCATGTATAGTTTCATTCTGTCATTGCCGCCAAAAGAATATACATGCAAACATACAAGAGTAGAATCAAGAGAGTATGATATGTGAATAAACCTCTTTACCTTGGCCGTAAAGGTTTCCTATTTCAGACGTGTCGTTCCCTAGAGTATCATTTCCTTTTTCTTTTTTATTTAGTTTTAATTTTTATTATTTTATTTACACTAAAAGGACATTACAATAGATTATAGATTACAGAAAGGGAGATATTAAAATAAGCAATTACGATGAAGCTGAATATCCTCTAACAGTGTAATTAAAGTGCATGTAATTAAACCGAAGGGTAATATGAACAACTGGCACCAATGCTGTTTACTTCTACCTCAACAGCAATTTCTTTCAATCATATGCTGCTATTAATTAATCAACATGATCGTAGCAAGGGAAAGGCATGTATTTTCTTCATGACTTGGTTTATTATTTCTTCTCTCTGCGCTGCGCTCCTTGATTGCAAACTTATTTACTCATCAGGATAGTCTCATTTCTATTTCAAGATATTAAAGCGAATKGTAAAGTAAAGAATGTTAGTACAGCTCAACAATACAGACRATTTAAATTTTTCACGACACTTCTCTCGAACGGCAAATGAATACTCTCCACCTAATTGTGGAGACCAACTCTGCCTATTTCTTCKAGGATCAGATAATGAACTTTACTAAGCTTCCATTTCAAGCAATTAACAATAGAATTAAATTATAAATTTGCAACAATTTCACACTAGGAGTATATGTATATCGTTAGGATTAAGATCTAAAGCATGAAATGGGGAAGATAGCATTCTGCAAACGCTTTTGATAATGACATAAGTAATCAAACAAAAATTGTTTTTTTTTTTAAAGTAAACTGGTACCTTATTTTTTGCCACTCAATAACAAGTATGGAATTATGCAGGCAAAATACAAATGTGTGTTTTAGTGAGTGCAATCCTCGGAAAGTACAGCTACTGATAATTGTATTTCTTTTATTTATAAAGTTTAAGATTTCTGCTTTTGTCCGATGATGACAGCATACTCCGCTGACTGGTAGGGAGCGGGTTTGACTGCTTCTTGCGGTGCATCGTGGGTAAAGTCTGCTAGCTCAGCATAAGTGATTTGGTATGGCTGTTGCTTCCCCTGAAATCAAAATATCGACAATTTGCTGATGAAATATAAATACAATAACGGTAGCCAAACCTAACTTTCAAAAAGTCAAAATTCCGCCTCCTCAAACAGAAACAGATGAGAAAATTACTTGATCACAAATGGTTATGACTCTTTAACATATTTTACTCAGGATTTTCTTTTTAATTTTAATTTTAAACATATTGAAATCAGTCATACTATAAGGATGATGTGGAATCCTTTGATGTGGCTTCCGATCGACTCTTTAGATCGATAACAGCCATAATTAATACAAAATACTATATATCAGCTTGGGCATTAACACAAACAGTATTTCTTGTAGTTCTGATACACTCGTTTGTAAACAAAGCCAGTATATCTGAATGGTTAGTTAAAAGGTATTTCAATTCATACCGTGTTGTCTTTACTTCCAACTTCAGCATACACCACATTTTCAGCCTGGGCTTTGCTTTTCTTTGGTTTATCCACAGATGCATACACAACCTGTTGACCAGTAGGCCATTGTTTGACATCTTGGCCCTCGTTCTCTATATTGTTCTTTTTCTTCTTATCTACCGAGGCATACACTGCTTCTGTGTTGGATTTTTTCCCTCCCACTGAGTTCCCAGAGTTCTCAACATTCATCGTGGCGGCTGGCATGGCAACAATTGGGTCGTTTTTGGATGATCTTTTCATCATTTTTTCATCTTCGATAGAAGCATATGCAGGCTCGTTCGATGCAGTTGTACCTTGATTTTGCTGGGTCAAGTTGTTGTGGATGACAGCATACGCCACATAAGACTCGCCAACGTTTTGATGAAACAGTTGAACACCCTCTGTTAAGCCAGCATCTTCGGGACCCTGGTTATTGTTGGACGACTGTTCTATTGCATCCCGTGGTAGACGTGTAGTCTCTCTTATAAAATAATAATACGAAAACGCATCAGATTCTCAAGGCCTTTAGTTTTGTGTATGATAAGACCATTGCATTGAATCTTTGCGGTCCACATTTTAGGATGTTAATTTCCATTCTTCTCAACCGTCTCTGCAACGTTAGTCATTCATTTGTCCGCTGATTGCAGCTTGTTGCCCCTAGGATTTATTTAAAGTTTATATTTTCTAGCTGACCTAAACGATTACAAGCCACATTTTTTCCTTTGCCTCGAGGATTGACATCCATTGTAATTTCAATCTTAAAGCAATAAAGGATATTTCCTGTTTTTATCCGAAAAAGTTTTAACGGAATCACAATATTGATTGTAAATAATAGTAAATAATTACGTACGATGTCGGTTTCTCATTCTTGTTTCCTGAAAAAATGGAAAATCGTAACTTAGACTTCCTTGCTTTTTTCTATATCTTTACTGTTTGATATATCTAAAAAGGGAAAAAGGCCAAGGGCAGAAAGCAATGCATCTTCGTTAGTCCTGTAATGCTTATCTAAAGGAACGTGAAAGATGTCTTTTTATCAGGGATAGATAATTTCGTATTTGGAATGAATTTCTAGTATTACAAAGGCGGCGAAGCGATTTGAAGTGAGCCCCAGTGTCAGTGGAGTAAGTGCGTGATCACAGTATTCTCGGATCCACCTGGAAACACAGCTCTCCTCTAGCAAACAGTTAGGCTCATATTTCTAGCCTTTGGGGGTTTCTGGCAATCTGAGCCTAGTAAACAGTATACTTACATTTTCGGTCGAAAGACCCTAAATAAACATTTCATAGTTTATTCACTTTATTTTTCTTGTTTACGTTTCTAATATCATTACTTTCAAAGTTCGATCCCCCCCCAAATGAGCATGGGCACCCCGGCCCCGTCGCTTATAGTGCAAATATTCAGTAACCATTATTCTAATTCAACGGTATGTTGTATTTGTTATTTATTTATCTTTGGGATATAATATATTTGCTAAACATAATTATAAGATGTATATGAAAATATATATAAACTATATTTTTATACTGGTTGTATTGTATCAAATTGAGCTGATCCTCGCAGTAGATCAAGCAGCTTATGCAGCTGCATACTGATTATAAGATGTGAAAGTATTTTTACAAGCGCTGAAAAACAGCGCGTCGTTCTTTCAACCTTTTTAAAGGTATTCTCACCTTTGTTCCTCCGTTTCCAACAACACAAAAAGACTAGCAAGCAAACAGACACAGCTAACACAGCTCCAAGAGCAACAGTCACAATAACCAAAGGGAATTGGTTTGAACTTGAGCTTCTGGACTGTGGGCCATCCGTATCTCCTAATTAAAAAAAAAAAGATATATAAATTATCATTTATGGCATGGAACCTTCCCCAGTGCCTGTTGCGAATAATAAAGGCATGGTCGCTGTTGTTTTGTTACAGTTGACCAACATAGAGGTAATGAAATCACATTCACCACAAGACTATCAAATGAAAGAACACCTATTATTTAAACTGACATAATACCTATGTTTAATTTGACTTATCAGTGCTCAGGGCGGTTTGCCTGGATTATGCGCTGAATACTAATATTGTTTAAGCTGTGCGTTCTTCATTGATCTGTCATATTTAGGAATACTGATGATTATGATTTTGTCGTTACTAAAATGAGGCATTGCCAGTACCACTAGAAGCGACACATAGCTTATTCAATCAATACGTACGTACCTCCTGGTTCTGTGGACTGGACAAAAGCTTCCGTCTTTTTCCCGGTTGGTAGACTGAATTGCAAATATGAGTGCGGTCCTTTGGCTGTTGTTTCATGAGTAGTTGATGTAGTTGTAGTTTTTTCTGTTGAATTAAGGAGGCTGGAAAGTGTTTTGTGCCTTCACATACACTCCCAATTATGAACTAAAAAAATTTAATATGACTATAATATGACAGCAAGTAAACCAGGAAAGCCAAAGACTATAAACCAAAGATCACATTGAACATGAAAAAATGACGTAATACGTTGTCATGACAACATCAGAACCCTTAAGCCCTGTTTACACTGGCAATTTTTGCGGCGATTTTTGCTGCGATTTTTGTGGCAATTTTCGGAAATATGAAATCTTTTGTCTCATCCTTCAAAAGAGATATTCGTCTAGGAAAATCTTGGTATCCTAAAAAAAACTTTACAACTAAATTCTTTACCATTATTTATTATGGACAAAATCGCAAAAAAATCGCAGCAAAAATCGCCGCAAAAATCGCTAGTGTAAACGGGGCTTTAGTATGTCATCAAAAATGTTTATTCAAAAAATCATAACTCAGGAACCAAATGGTGAATTTCTTTGAAAACTATAATATTTAAATTTTGTATCGTAATCTTCTTTTTGACAAAAAAAGAAAAATTTCTTTAAAAGGGAATTCGTAAAAATCAATGAAATTTGTTTGGAATAGTTCCCTTTTACAGAATTTTTTTTAGATTTTCCTTAAGTTTTTGAAAACATAAACTAAAGCCCTATGCAAAATTTGAAGAAGTTTCACCGCAGAATTTTTGAGTTTTATCAGTTTGAACATTAAAATTTATGAGTACAAAAATTTTCCTTTTGCAAGTTCTACGTCATCGGACCTAGAGCGCGCGCGCGCTCAAGAAAAACCGTTTCGAGCCTCCTTAAGCTAAAATGTAAGCCTAAACAACAACAACAACAACAAAAAAAAGAAAGAAAAAAAGCAACAGCAACAACAACAACAACAACAAAAACAAAGAAGAGAAGTAAAAACACGTACAACAACAACAACAACAACAGATCAAACAAATAGAGTGACCACAGTAGAGTGCAAACAATATAACCGTGAAACTTTAGTAATACTAAATAGCACAATTTCATGCGAATTCCATTGTTTTATATTGTTTAATTAGGACTATTTTGTACTATTTAGTAATTAGTGTTTCACGGATTAATTGTTTGCACTCTAAATCCGCGAAACTTTAGTAATGCTAAATAGCACAATTTCATGCAAATTTCATTGTTTTCTATTGTTAAACTAGCACTATTTTGTACTATTTAGTAATTAGTGTTTCACGGATTTACTGTGATCATTCTAATATAGAAGAGTTAACTAGCTAAAAACTAGTGTGAGCTGCGTCAGTGTTTCTAATGAAACAGTAATGATAAAAGGGTGAATTTTACACCGTGAAAAGATGAAAAAACTTACTGACGTTATAATACAAATAATACACTAAAGCTCCGTCAGGATTATGTCAAATATTTGTAAGTTATATAAAAATATTTTTTATAGTTAGTGTTAAACAGCTATCTATGGTATAGTGACCACAGTAAATCCGTGAAACTTTAGTAATACTAAATAGCACAATTTCACACAAATTCCATTGTTTTCTATTGTTTAATTAGCACTATTTTGTACTATTTAGTAATTAGTGTTTCACGGATTAGTCTAATTGTTTGCACTCTATTTATGCGATCACGAATTTAGTATTCGCACTCTATTCTGTTATTATTGATAAGAATGGAACATTACCTTTTGTGATTTGTGAAAAAGGTGATGTTGTGGTGTACTCGTTCGTGCTTGTTATCGGTTTTCTCTTCTGCAAAGAGCACCATTTTTTACTAATAAACGTGGTGCTCGGCGTAATATTAGGGCATCTCTTAGCTGCATTGAAAATAAGATAAATGGGGAGGCGATTGAACAAATCTTTAGAGAAAGTGACATATAGCAAAGAAATATAGTAAAATATTTGGAACATTTGCTTCTTTCATATTTGTGAAACTCGTTTCTAGACCCCAAATTTTACCCCTAAATATTGTAGCAAAATAAGCAAATTTTGGAGCAGAGTTCAAATTTTCATGTCGTTATACCTTTCTTTCCTACAATGAACACTTCGATTTCAATCATTTGCTTACTAGGCTATCTAGAAAGGCTAAAATATTTGTGAAATTGAAAAAGTCCCGTCATCTTGACCTTGAAGTTCTGATTGGCGAAGAGCCTTAATTCACCCAATCGCAGATATATGTACTTTTGACATGATAAATGTATTATAGGTAGGCTTTACTGCAGCTTTTAAGCAATTACTGAACTCGGTTATCACAAAATATAGTGATCTTTTCAGTGGCGAGCGGGTAATTATTTAGCGACGCCGATCATTCAACTTATCATTTGTTTTGTGCTTGTGTGTGTGTGCTTTGGTTGTTTTCGCTACCTATCAAACATGCCGCAGGAAAGCGAGCCATGTTTTAAAATGAATGAATCATATTACATTTATCATATCAAGTTCACTCAAGGACACAATAAAAATTGAAATATGCTTGTTATTTTTTCGAAAGCAAATTTAAATATTTATCCTTAGTTTACAGAATATAGAATAAAATAATCATTGAATTGGATTTTGCACGATAATAAACAATTATTCGATGAGGTTTTGATGATATCCGGAATTATCAATGTCGAGGGAAGTGTTATTTGCCGAAGCCGTAGGCAGAACTAAGTGCAACAGGAAAATTCCATGAGCTCAAGAACGTCCTTACAGATCATAAAGTATCTATGAATACACGCAGAAAACTCTTGGAATCCTGTATCAGATCCAGACTTACTTACTGTACTGAGGCTGAACTACCAAATGAAGATGAACTGAAAAAGCTTGAATCATGTTGGTTTGGTCTACTAAGAAGAATGGTACGGAATGGCTGGGAAAGGAAAATGAATAGTGACGGAGAAGAAACGTTTGCCTTTAAATATAGGAACTTAGACCTGGAGAGAATAGTGGGAACCCTGGCACTTCGTGATTTTATATACATACGYTACTTGAAGTACATTGCACATGTTTGTAGAAGACCAAATTCAAATTTAACGAAACAGTTGCTGTTTGCAATTCCATCTGCTAAATATGTTAGAGATCCATGGATCAAAATTAGTCAACTWCTTAATGTTGATAAACACCAAGCTAAGAAATCTACACAAGACAGAAAAGTTCTAAAAGGACTACTACATCAGAACTTTGGCTCTGTGTAGACTATATAGTCCCTGCTGATCAACTTATAGTTGGAAATAGCGGAATGACACTGATACTGATACTGAATGTTTTATTATACATTGTTCAAATAGATTAACTAATATACAAAGAGAGAAACTCTATGAAAAAAATATTTTAAAAACAATTTCAAATAATACATTAAAAAACTTACAGATAACCGCCATCCGCTGACCTATGTAGGCTCGTTTTTTCCAGATAACTGCCTACAGATAACTATCGAACGCTGAAAAATTGCTGGCGCATGCTGATAGATAGAATTATCTTTAGGTTCTCGAAACTAATGAGAATTCCTACATTATCAAGACCTGTTTTATTTATGCTGAACCTCATCCAATAATTGTTTAATATTATTTGGCGACTGAAGCCGTTACCTTGATTGTATTCACATATAAACATTAAGTGTCTTCCCTTGCATTGAATGTCATCGAATAATCCCCATTCCGCGTTATAGTATTTTATCATCTTTACACATGGTTGCTCCTCGCTTGGTTGGCGTGATGCCCATTTAGCAATTGTGTATCTTTCTCCACTTATCCACTCATAAACACCTTTTCTTTTCTTCTTTAAACCTATATTCCACTCGCTTTCATGATTTTCTACAACATCTAGACTTTGTATCGTCTCATTGATAAACTGGTATTACTCTTCTGTTTCCATGGATACCAAGCTTCCGTTATTTTGTTGACAAATCGTATTGCTATTTTCCCAATTTTGTTTAGTTGTGTAGAATAAATAACAGGAGCAATCGCCCGTTTCTATAATAGGACATAATATTGATAGCATTTTAAACTGTTACTTAAAATATTTGGAGTGCCCCCCTTGGCTTAGCCTGCGTGCATCCGAACTAGTCCGGCTACACGCAGGCTACCCTTGGCTCTGATAGCTTTGATGTTAATTTATTTCCCGGGGGGGGGGGGTACTACCACCCCAACTTGGGTAGGGGTGTGCCGCCAGGACCTCAAAACCCTGACCCTATCCCAGACCTAAAATTTTGATTTTACATACCCTACCCCAGACTAAAACTAAGAACTGTACACCCTATCCCAGACTAAAAGACGGAAAATACGGTTTTTTCAATCGATTGCAATCAACATTTACTAACATTTTTATTGTTTTTGTGTCGGCAGAAAGCGTAGCCTATTCGCCATACAAAAACGACCAAATCGTTAACCCTATCCCAGACTAAAATGATACCCTATCCCRGACAAAATGTCAAAAAATGATACCCTACCCCAGACCCAAAAGCCGAAAAATCATACCCTATAGGGCGGCACATACCCGTATAGCAAATATAGGGGAGTACCCCCCGGGATTTATTTATTGATACAACAGCTAGTTTGTCCGAACTAAAATACAGCTTTCACTCTAATGCGATAGGATTTTGGAAGACTAAGCAAATATGAAAAACCTGGCACCGTATTGCGTAATCAGTCTTTTTCACGAGTTTGCGTCATGTTTAAACAGTTTGATTGATTGAGGAGTAACCACTATTTAAGCCATTCATGTCAATGATAAAAATATTTTTTTAGTTTCCAAGGCTGTACTCACCAGTAGCAAAGATACTCTCCCACTGCCATACAATAAGCAACAATGTAATGGCTACGACACTTGGCGGTGTAGAATGTCCCATTTTTTTAATCGCTCTTATGTAGTACATCGATAGGCTAATACTTGCTGTATGACCCTAAATTAAAAGTAAATCTAGCATGCATGTAAATTTTAACTCATATATTTTTATCTTAAATTTTAAATAATCTCATATTATTAAAATAATGATATAAAATCAAAAAAAAAGCTACCAAAGACTTTTTCCTTCAACCTTCGCTGCGCTCACTCGGGAGATATTACATCAACACTCGAAGATAAAATCCGTATCTCTACGCGCCCATGTAATACTGATCCTCTTTTTATTTTACTGCGCCTGCTCTGATAACACGAGTTTATTATATCAGCAAATAAACCTTGCCGCATAAGTTTACAAGGTTCCAACACTAAATAAATATTAAAAGCTGTTCTTGTCTGTATCCACTATAATTGTTCACTTAATGTGTTTTCAGATTCTCTAACCCGCGATCATTGGAACGCATTTCTCATTATCATTGTGCGCTTACATTGGATGACTGGTGCGAAAGTAGTATAGTTTCACGACAAAAAAGTAAATCAGATTCAAAGAGTTAACCAGTACATTTATTATTAGATCACAAGCCATGGTGGGCATCAGGTAGCCGGCATATTCTTAGAGTAGTGTCACTTAAGTGTCAAATAGACACAAAAAAGGCAATGAAAAATAATTGAGTCTTTTACATCGACGAAGGACTAGAGTCAAAGACATCAGTGCGACTCCAAAGTTTTTTCATGGTCTTTTAAGCATAAAATGTTTCCTTCTTTTTCTCTTGTTCTGCTAACCAAGGCAGTCCAAACTAGTAACCACCCGTCCTTATCGGAAATAAGATGTACTATAATATCTATAAGTCCACTAAATATTCAATCACAGATTTTGATAGTAAAAGCAACGTTCTTAGCCATTGCAAACTCGCTACTTTTATTTATCATTACCTATAAATTAAGTCGGAATGCGGGCTCAGCTCGGTTTAAAATTATTAGCGATAATTAGATCAGTGCAATATATATGTGTCGTACAGGAATATAAACAAAGAGCTATCATAAACTTACCTTTAATTGTTCAACTTATCTTATTAATGTTAGAATTACCATCCGACTTCCTATTTTAATCAGAAAACATGAATATTAAAGGTTCGCTGAACAGTGCTTTTTGACGTCGACCACCAAGAGAAAACAATTAAGATTATTTCGAGTAACGAAATGACTCATGCAATATTGTGATTGGTTCTCAAGCGAAGCGAGAAAGATTCAGCCAAGGCAAACGTCCAAAAGTAGAATAACGACCGAATCAGGAAAAAGAGGGCATCACCATAGTTTACTAGAGTTAGAAACTTGAAATACAATATACCTTTTTACATCGTTTTCTATGCAACATGCGCTCACTGACTGAGGTTGACATTCTAATATATACTGTCAAAATTTGTGGTTTAGGTTAGTAAGGCTTGTATTGAAGAGGAAGTCTTGTTTCTGTTAGAAGCAGCAATCTGTCACTCTTCTTGCTATGACCACTTGACAATAAAACTTTCGCTTTCCAAGAATCTCAGCTTCATTTATTTATTACTCTATCTCGTCTGAGCCATAATTCCAATACCGGTTATATTCGTACTTCTTGTGGGATATTAGGTAATCAGTTCTAAAAATCCCAGAAGAGAAAATCAATGCAATGCAAACTGCATGAACGGTGTGGTTTCAGTCACTGATACCGAGCTTCAGTTGAGTTAAACCAAAATATCAAAACTAGGCAAATTTTGTTTTTGCTTCGAAAACACAAATTCAAGATATACTGGGTTAAACAAATTCCCCACCCACTCTCCCCGAAAACAGTGGACAGCCTTTTTACTCAATATTTTCTAAGCTTAATGACAAAAATGTCTGCAGCTTTCATTTTTATCTATTAAGACTTCATATTTTCTGTCYAATGTTTTATAGTGAATAGATAAATAGAATACATTAATTAAGAAAGGCCACCTTAAGATTACATTTTATATATTTAGCTATTGCGCTGCGCTGCCAGAAACAGAAAGGCTTTGAATTAATGATGTCTCATGAACTATTGCGATAGTTAGATTCCATAGCTGAGATGAGAGTGGAAAGATYTTTGTTTCCTTTTAATTTTCTTTTTTATAAGAAATATTTCCATAAACTTTAATAGTAATAATAATAAAAAAGTCATGTTTACATGACAGATGTACCTAAATACACAATTATATTTTGGCCTGTCACTTGATGTGTGCCAAGAGAAGAGTTGCCAAGAGAAGAGTTGCCTTTCTGCGACACTGACTAGGGTAAATGATTGTACATAGGATGGCGAATTACGTTCTGCTAATGACGATAACTTACATTTTTCTCATCGATCAAAACTTGTACATGATGTTAAAGCAAGTTGACCACCAATATTTGAATATTCTTTAGAAATCAATGCAACATCGCACAGTACTATAGTTAACAGTCAACAAAGCTTGGTAAATGCGCAACCGAGCGGGAAGAGGTTTCGGTGAATTTAGGCAAGGTGAGCTCCTATTYGTACTTGTAAAATAAGTCCATTATAAATTCGATTCTATTCTCGTTTAGTAGTTTCGCGAGGCCCTTTTTTCAATGTA